CCCCAAAAGCAAAAATCCCCAAAAAAAAAAAAAAAAAAAGAAATAACTACATATGTGTAGTTACATAGTCTATATAAAAACTACATAATTACTCTGTAAAAGCATAGAATCATGGGATGTTGAATTGAAAAATAGGCATCAGAATCCCTGTTTTCCAGAAAGAAGTGGAGCAATATCATGCTCCATACAGTAGGGCCAACTGCAAGGTTCAAGGCCCAGACCCAGGGGCACACAAGCCCAAAATCCTGCAAGGAGAAAGGCAGAGAAGGGAGTACACTCCAGTGATGTTTGCTGAACTGGAAATCCCAAAGTCCATTATTACTGGGCTAATTGCTGGAGCCTGGAGTACCCTCGAGTAGAACTGAGCCTCCCTGTCCTCAAACCAGAGCTTTTTACACTGTGTAGTGTCCCTAGTTTACATCATCTGCTTACTGATGAAATTATATAGTTGTTTATGCTCTCTAACACAAACTAATGTAAGGGGCACAGTAAAGTGTTAAGCTTTTCATTTGAGTTTTTCAGTGTCTGAGAAAGTAAGGGTTGGGCCCTGGGGAGAAGTCACTCTAGTCTTGTCAAAGCCAAGGCTGAGCATACTTTAAATAAAATACGCTTCAATGAGTACACAGGTGCAGGTCCAACTGCATGTGGTGAGTTGAAATATACACGAAGCACCTGTAAGACACTAGGGGTCAACTCACAGCCTCTGGGTGACAAGCAGAAAACCGGTTTTAAAATATCTGAAAATCGCAGCTTCACCGTTTTTGCAACACCTGCGTGTCCTAAGTGTCACGTGAAGCAGAGCCCAACTCGCCAGCACCACCTGAGCCACACACGGGGCCGCAGACTGGGAACGCCGGCCAGCCCCGTGCAGAATCAGCAAAAGCAGGCAAGCCGGCAGAGGCGGCCTTCTCCTAACTTCCAGCTTCACCGAGAGACAAGGCGGATGCACAAGGAGCCAAAATAACCCAAAAGAACTAGGGATTCGGGCACCCCAGAGGGCCTCTCTATCCTTAATTCTAAATATGCTGACCGCTGCACGACAACACAGATGGCATCTGCTACTTAGGAGATACTTTTCAAAAACCACACACACTTCATCTGGCTTTTCAAAGAGTACTGTCATTTCATGAATGTCATCCCATGAAACAGGGTTTATTTGCACGGAACCCCGCAGTCCCTCTCCGACCAAGGGGCAGGACTGGTCACCTCCTTCCACCGCTCGTCCTCAGGCAGCCGGAGACCCGAAGCACTACCTCCGTTACTCTCCGAGGGTAGACTCCATTACAACTGGTAAGTTTCTGGAACACGTGGTTCGGGGAGCAAACTTGCTACAGTCAGATTAAACGACACTAGAATAACAAACACGTTTCTCTGAGCCCTGCCCAACAAGTCGCGGGGAGGGACTGACCGTCACCAATCCGGGATGACACTCGTTCCAGTCGCCCCAAGGAGGGGCGCGAGTCCCGCCCGGAAGCCGCCGCAGCTCTTACCCATTTGTCCAAGGGGACCTGGGCGAGGGACCCGGTGCCCTGGTACAGGTCCAGGCTGAGCTGCTCCAGGCTCAGCTTCTCCTGCAGGAAGTGGCCCAGGTACCTCTGCAGGAGGTACCGACAGGCCCTCTTCTTGATAGACTCCGAAAACGGCCACGGCATGGTGAGGGCTGGCAGCTGGGCCGGCTGGGGCTGCAGGCGGCGGCTCCGGCCTCGCGGCCCAGGCTCCAG